GAGACCTTAGCTTAGCATGGCACTTGCTTTTCAGTTTCCCTAAAACCAATAACTTTGCTTTAAGGAAAACTCCAATATTCCTCAAAGCAAGGGTGGCAAAAAGGGAATACAAAGCGAGATCAAAACAGTGGACACAACAAAAACAATGACTCAGGGGAGAACAGAACAGATTGTATTAAGCAGTCGTAGGTACACTTGCAGTTACATCAATAACTCATGAACTTAAAAAGGCAGCGTAGATGTACTCTAAAAAGTATGTTTCTCAGCGAAAGTTAAAAAAAAAAAATCCTAAGTTTGGTCAGAATGAGTAGAGCTCTAAAGATCAGATGCTGAAGCCCCAAAAACAGGAGCAGGAGGAGAGCTTGGTAGATTGGTAGAAGGTGCTCCAAGAGATAAAAGAGAAGAGCCCTCAGGGATACTAGTCACAACAACCTGGGCTCCAACTACTGGCGTACTCCGAGCAAGGGCTTCGATCACAAGGTCAGCAGAGAAGGATGTAACAACAGGGACGACGGGGAGCTCAGTAGCCACAGAAACAGAGAGATCTGAAGGAGTAGGAACATTTTGAGTCAAGATCTCAGTAGATGGGAAAGGAACCTCAGAAGCCTTAGAAGCTGTCTCAAGAGCTGAGGGGCCAAGACACCATCCTCTCCCTCTACATTGGGCACCTCTGCCTCCTCCTCAACTCAAAATCAAAATTCAGGTCAGGATATGTATCTTCAGCTTTGTCCTGGAAAGCAATCCACCTCTTGGACCACCTGGTAGTGACATCATCCATCAACTTGGTGATTACTTCGTCTTTCTCTTTGACGATGGTTCTCTGCACCTCAAGCTCACAGAGGGTAGTATCGTGCGCTTCAGCCAAGATAACGTATTCCCTCTTCATGCCATTATAAGAGCTAAGGGCCTCAAAGGTGTCCTGGCTAGCCTTGACCCAGGCATCTATCTTGAGCTTAAGCTCTTCCTTGGTCTTCACACTTTTGCCCTCAACCCTCTCTTTCTCCACCTCTAGGTTCTGGATGGTAGAAGCTTGCCTCTCTACTTGCTCCCGAAGGTCATAGTTATCAAAGGACAATTATGTGACTTTAAGCTCAAATGCCTTAGACACTTTGGCGGAGCTCTCCAAAGATCAGATCTAACTCATCAAGCCCCTCACATGTATGGCTAGTTGGGAGAAGACATGGATAAAAATGAGAGTTAACGTAAAGTGATGGTACAAAAAACACTGAAGCAAAACAAGAATGAAGGCTTACAGCAGTAGTTCCGTGAAGGGCTGAGTTAATAGAGTTCTCAAGGTTCATGGTGGCAGCCCTCTGGATGTCAGAGTTAGGAAGAATAGAAGTAATGGCACTAGCAGCAAGCTTGACATTGTCGAAGAAAGAATCTTCACATCCTTTTGTCTTTGGATGCTTCCCCCTCTCAACTTTGGAGCTCGGGGGAGTTTCTCAGCCAACCCAGGAGAAGAGGAAGCAGGTTGGAGCCGAGGAATCAACTCTAGAGCCTTCTCAACCTCAGATGAAGAGGGAGAGGCTAGGCCTCGCTCGAGAACTCTGCTAGAAGAAGACAGAACACCTTGGAGAGAAGAAGTCTCTATGACTTGGGGGCGCTCGGTGATAGAACAGAGGCCTTTTTAGCTAGAACAGGGGAGGCGAGTACCTCCAACTTCTGCACCTTAGCTCGGGTAGAGGGATTGTTCCCAAAACATACCTCAGCATTGTGCTTGCCCCCACTCCTGCCTTTCCTCAGCAGGTTGGCCTTAGCTTGGAGCTCTTCGGAGGTAGGCTCCATAGAAGAAGAACTTGAAAATTAGAAGTAAGCAATAATAAAAATTGGAAGGGAATGAAAATTGGAAGTCGATGGAAAAAGTGTTACCTGCTACCTCCTCCGGGCTAACGACTGAAATTGGAATGGGGGTCTCGATCCTCACCTCTGGAAGGTTGAATCCTAGCGATACAAAAACCCAAGGCTTGATGAGCTTAGAGTACTTCTCAAAATCACAACGTTCAAGGGTCAGTAGAGCCCGCCTATCTGCAGAGCTGAGCTCAAGTCGAATGCCTGAAAAAGAAAGCAAGACAAACGAAGAGAAGTAAGCACTAAAAGCCGTCGAAGCTGATCTTAGCTTGCTTAGACAAAGGCTTACCCAAATTATCAAAGGCTTTCCAGGCCCGAGGGATTGGAAGAGAATCTGAAGAGTCTACAGGATTGTATTCCCACTGAGAGCCTCCCACAAAGAAGAAAAGCTTTTTCCAGCCCTTGTGAGAGCTCGGGAGGTCAGAGATGATTATCTTGGCTTTCACCTATTTAGAAATGTATAAAAATCCATTAGAAGGGGTATGCTTAACATTAAAATACTCCATGAGCAAAGAAATGGTAAGAGCCCCAAGTTTATGTTTCTTAAAGAAGACAAGGAGGCCCACTAGGACACCCCAGAAGTTGGGGAAAAGTTGAGTAGGGCAGACGTTGAAATGCTGCAAAACACTCTTGATAAATGGGTGCAAGGGGAAGCGAAGGTCGTTCTTGAAGGTGGCCACAAAGAATCAGACCTTCTTATGAACCTGGGAGACATAGGGATGAATGCGTCTAGACACCAATATTAGACACCCGAAGGAAATCCAAAGCGAGCGCTAAGAACCTTCATGAGAGAAGGAGGGGCCTCACTAAGGCTCGCGAGTTTAGCAGTTCTGAAGGCAGGTCCTGCGCCCTCAGCACTACCTGAGATTCCTATGTCACTCACCTTAGCTTTACTGTTATTAGGGTTTTTGGGCATAGGGGAGGTCGATGAGGGAGGCTCCTCAGTATTCCCCTTGACATCAACAAAATTAACACTGGGAAAGTTGTCAATCTCCTCACCCACATCACTTAAGTTGATATCCTCTTCGACAGATCTGCTCCCCATCAGGGAAACAGACGAGGGAGTGGCTTCGAAAGAGGCAAACATCATTGGGCAAGAGAAAGAAAGTCTAAAAGAGCGGTAAAGAGGAGGAATATTTATAGACCACTCTCTAAGAGTTTGGGGGACAACACAGCAACTTCCAATAAAGAAAACCCTAGCAGTTGAATAAGGGTGTAAGAAAAGGGGAATACGAGACAAAGATCGACCTTGGTTCCTAAAATAACAGAATCGAAAAGTCCAAAAATGCAGAAACTACCTCATATTTGAGGGATCTAGAATGAGGAGATCAACAAAGGACAAGAAACGTACCTAAGTGAGGATGAACAATGGGCCAAGGCTAGAAATGAAGGCGAGGAGCAAACTTCGTTAAAGCCACGAGCTGAATCAGGGGAGACCGATTTCCTGCAAAACCCTAAGAATGCTGATAGAATCAGAAGCTTGAAATCACAAGAAGAAGAAAGGGAAAAGTTTAGGGATAGAATTCGAAGAGAGAAGTGAGCTATTTTCCCTCGGCACAAAGGCATTTAAAGCCTTCGATACGTGGGTCTTGAAAGTGGAGAACACATGCAAGAAACGAGCAATGAATGATTGTTTGAAACCGTTAAAAACCTGTTTATGTGTGAATCGAGGTCGACATGTGGAGGTCTTCTTAATTAAACCTCAACTCAGCCCCTACCCAAGTTCACTTGGACTAAGGGCTGGGGGCAACTGATGATACCTAAAATAAACTCCAAGTATGAGCTCATGTGTGGAGGTCGTTCCAGGAGATCGGATAAAATAACTAGAGCCCAGTGGTCCAGACCTCGGGTTCCCCTCGAAGCAAGCAGCACAAGATATAAGGAAGGAATAGCTGGATAACAAAAGACACCCCTGAAACAATAGCCAAGATATATTCAAGACACAAAACTCTCAACCAACCACTATTCTCTCCAAGGATCAAGGGGGATTTCGCAGATGGAGGGCAAGGATCTAGTTGGAAATCCCACGAAACAACAAACAACTCTATAAATATTGTATAATGCCTCCAAAACAGGGAGGAACCCTAGAATTCACATCTTGGTACTGTCAATTGCATCCGCTATTAATAAAGATTGTGGGAGCAAGAGACTCCATTGAAAAGTGGATTAGTCGAGCTCCCGAGCTGGTGAACCACTATATTTTCAATGTGTAAACCATCCCAATCCCCCCTGCTATACTTCTCATTAACCACACGAGCCTTGTACCTCGGATCCAGGCTGTTAAGTGTTATTCATTCCCTCTGCTCATACACGCGAATATACATCATCATACTTAATTACCAAATTATATGTTTAGCCTTCTCCTTGATTAGTAACAAACTTGAAGTATATATATATATATAGAGAGAGAGAGAGAGAGATAGAGAGAAGAAGAAGAATAGAAACAATTTAAGTTTCTTGGAAACCCAAAGGCGCCTTTTGGTTATGCTATTAGTAGTGTAAGTTTAGATTCTAAAGGAAATTACTTAGAAAAAGTTGATTAGATTGGAGTCCATGTTAAGCATCAAGTAGCCTCTTCTATAGGCACCTTTTTAACTAAAGCATAAATCGGATAACACCAATGACAACAATGAGAATACTAATGTTTAGTGGACAAATATGGTGAATTATGGATAGAGTTCCTACCATAGCTCCTTCTCTTTCGCCATAGCTCCTTCTCTTTCATTCTATCATGCATTCAAGTCTCTGGTTGTCAATGCCTAAGAACTCTATCTGTGAACCACCTATTTATATTTATCTCTTATCTCGCATCCACGTTTCTACTTCTAAGTTATCTTGAATTTCTTATCCAACGGAATAAGTGAGAAATCCAAGTCTCTCCAACAAAGCAATTAGGTTTCATCAGTCAATTGTTGCATGAAAAGTGCAACAAATGAAAACTTTTTTCATCCTGAAACCAAAAATCAAACAATTCAAATTTGCTACTGTTTTAAAACCTAGAATAGCCATCCAATTCAGCAATACAAATTAACAACTTTGTAACACAACCAAAAAATTCGTAGCACTTTTCGTGAGCAAAAAAAATTCCAAGATAAAGAGAATTGTCTATGAACAAGACTTCGGTTTCTTCACTAATCCAGACCTTCGGAATGGCAACTAATGGAATCAAGATGCAAGAGATCTTCGATTTCTTCTTGAACAAATATAAGGTGAGAAGGTAACTGCTATATTCATTGCTCAGAAACAGAAAGGACACCAATAGTTATGATGAATAAAATTAATTTTATAAGATTAATTAAGGCACGTAAATAGAAAGGCCACCATCTCCTAATAGTTATGATGGACAAAACTGGTTTTATAAGATTAGTTAAGGTTAAAAGTGAAAAAAAAAAGTTTTTTTGATATACGTACTTTTATAGGTAGTAAGATAAGATATAGATTATTGGCATATAAATGGAAAACAATAGTTTTTCAAAATAGTTAAGGCATGTTAATTGCTCAAATTTCAAGCAAAGTCTATTTGTAAATATGTTTTGTAGGTTTCAACTAGAAGAATCAATAAAATTACATAAATCAGAGGGCACAAATACCTTAGAAAGGACACTACCTTCACCATTTTCGTTTCTTGGTTGTCCGTGAACAAATACCCCTCCTTTTAATTTGTATCTTTTTGATGAGTAAGAGTGCCTTCAGAAGCCTTAAGGTTGCTTGGTATACACTTTATCTAAAACACCTGCATTATTTCATGAGTCACTATTATATTTGGAGAATTCATAAAAGTCAACAGAGGGATATGGGCTATGTACTCAACCATAAAAAATGTAGCACAACACATACACACACACACACACCCTCACCCTCCCTCCCAAGAGAGAAGTGAAAAAATAACTTTGAATTTATCATTTCTATCTGGTTTGTCATCAAGAAATTAAAGAAGTTCAGATGAAAAGGTTGGTGCAACTCTGGAGACTAAAATAAATGGTGGAACACTGGAGATTGAAATAGGTGAAGATGACCATATTTCAATCGATGAGAACGAATTATGGCACAGACTGTCATCAACCATTACCCAAAAAATTATTAGATTTCAATCCAACTCTGATGCATGTTGTATCTACAAAGTTCCCCAAAAACTTCAGAAGGCAAATGATGAAACATATACACCTTAATCAGTATCAATTGGTCCTCTACATCGTAACAGTGCACGATTGCAAAGCATGAAAGAGATTAAACTGAGGTATGTAGATAGTTCCCTAAGCCGGACCATGGCAGATTTGGCATCCTGTGCTGCATACATAAACACGTCTAGCAGTGAGGAATTCATAGAAATGATGTTGGTGGACAGTGTCTTTATCATAGAGTTCTTCATAAGGAATTCCTTCCCTAGCTAGATACCTCGATCACAATGATGTGATATTTAATAAGCAATGGATGAATAACGACATGTTACATGATATGATCCTATTAGAAAATCAGTTCCCTCTCTTTGTTCTTCATGGGATATATGAATTCATCCAAGGCCATCCCATGGTCAAATTTGATCTCCTTGCTTGAGCTTAGCTTTGAGTACGCTAAAAATATAGCAAACCCAGACAACCTACCAGAAACAATACCCCAAGTGAGGCATCTGGTTGATTTCATCAGAGCTCTTTACCTTCCCTCTAATATAAGGGCACTTCTAAGAGACAAAGGAAAATTCTCCTACACTCCTAGTGCGACTGAGCTACAAGAGGCTGGTGTCAACTTTAAGAAGGGGAAAGGAAACCGATTACTTGATATAACATTCGTTAAGGGAGTACTAGAATTCCTCATATAGCACTAAATGAGTGGACAAAATCTTTTTCCAAAATATTATTGCCTTCATGAGCAACCTTATAAAAGCACCAGTAGAAGTAGATCTACTCATTTGTTGTGGAATTATTGAGAATTCACTTGGTCACACCATACACGTTGCAAATCTCCTCAGCAATCTTTACAAGGAAACTATTATGGACCAAAACATGTTCTTCTTTTGTGGATTGTGTCAGGATTTGAATGCTTACAATTGAACCTACTTGCACCGGTGGAAGGCAACTTGGTTGAGGTGGACAGTAATCCTTCGACGCAATTATTTTAGCACCCCATGGTCAATCATCTCCATCATGGTAGCAGTACTACTGCTCCGTCTCACTATCATACAAGTTGTATGTTCTATCATATCTGTGCCAGTATGATTCTGACAGACAAGCAAGTATCTTTTTTTTTTCTTTTTATACATGGAAGTGTATCTCATTAATAAATTTTAAGGGAAATTTCATAATTTTTTGTCTATATATGGATCCATTTGGCAAGCAAAGGAATTAATATACCCTGTTCAGCTTTGAACATATAGTTGTACGTTATGTACAAGTAATACTCATTTTTATGTAACCTTTAACAGTCAACATAAATGGGCTCCTGATTGTTGGGAAAATGCTTGCCCTTTTTCAAAAATGCTTTTCTTTGTAAAAAATGATTGTCTCCCATAATGATTTGATTATTTCTCATAAATTATGCTCGCATTTATGAAATATATGTAATGTGTTTCTCAAGCGTAGGAAGTGTGTGCAGTATAGTAACTCGGATTTTGTATCGTCAAGGAACAATGGCAATCCAATTGGTGATTTGTTTGTAAAGAAAAATAAAAATCCTTCGATTTGTGGAAAATTGTGAAAGTATTAACTAATGTAGTAAAACCAAATGGAAAACAATCGACCAATCCTCGGAAATCATCTCACCATAATCAAATTTATTGATTATGATTTATAATTTGTCCAAACTCATAATCAAATTCACTCGGACGAAAAATATTCAACTAAAATTGGATTTAAAAAATATTTAGCTTTGAAGATAGATAATGATAGCTAGAATGATAAATACTTAGATGTATATATGAACTCCAATCATTACTCATACTAGAAAAATCATCGACGAGAAATCAAGATGAACACATAACAACTAGTTTTCAAAATAAAATTTTCCCATATACAAATCATACTACGTGGTTAGAACATAATAGAGAATCAACAATGCTTGCTCGCAAATGAGAATCCTCCCTTGGATTGCACCGAAACTTAGCCAGAAACAAAACCCATCAAACTGAAATCGGCAACAAACAATATGTAAATAAAAGGTAAACGAATAACAAGATTGAAATGAATAACTTCAATATATTTTCTTTGAAATTCTAAGTTCAAATACAAGAACAAACCATACACCACAAGTTTTGAAAATGAAATGGAAATTGCACTCGTTGTCTTCTCCGAATCTCGACAAAACTCTCACAATGTAAAATTAAAACTCAAAATTAAGACAAAAACTAAGAAAAAGCTCTTCCCCAATGTGTATATAAGTGTATATATAGTAGCATCTTTCCTTCTTTCTCCTTATTGGCCATGGTGCATGGTGTGGGTGGTGGGTGCTTTGCCAAAAAAGTTTCCTCCACCAATGTTATCCAATCAAAATGCTCACATGATACTTTCGAGGTGCCATTAACCAATCAAAACCAAGGCCATATGGATTGGCAGCCTCCCCCTTGATTGTGGAGATGGATAAAGTGAACCCATGGCATCTGGATGTAAGCTCGAGACATGTGCGATGTATATGTATGTCTGAAGAACTGATACATAGGTTTTTGTTAATGGTTGTTCCAGTACAAACATAGCATGAATCGGTACAAGACCCTTTGGAGCCCGATGAACCGATACAAGTTGTACCTGTACATTAGACTTTTCTCTTGATTTTTGTTTTGTTCCTTTGAATCGTTTCCTTCTCTTTGCTATGCCTTCCCATGACATCTATATTGAATCTCCATCATTCTATCTCCTCTCATTTTCACCTATAAACACTAATTCACACAATTAATCAAAACTTCCACATAATTCAGAGAAATAAACAACAAACACATGCTCAAAACAAAAGGGATAAATCATAAAATATGCAATATTGAGTGCCCAACAGAGACCAAACTTAATGGGTATCACGACTTCCATCCCATAGGCGAAGAGTTCAATAGTTCCTCGGTCCACCTATAAGATGTTCTATAATTCCTCTGTCCCTTGCGGACTTCTTATAACAACGGCTAGACTTTGTGCTTGGGGATGCAATAGAGGTATGGTCCCAAGAAGGACATTCGACAGTGCTTCTAGTTGGGAGAGACCCAAAATTTTGAGGCTTTGAGCTAAATCTTCTAGGACTCCTTGTGGCATATTAGGGGTTCCCCTGACTTGACTATTATGATCCTGAGGAATATGGGAAACTTGTATTTTCTTGAACTCTATCATCATTACGCACACCTTCTAGTGGTAAGCCTTTATCCTAGGGTCGTGGACCTTAAATTTCCCATTGACTTGGTTCACCACTAGTTGGGAATCGTAGAACATGTATAATTGATCGCCCCCGACTGTCCTGGCCATGCCTAGCCTTGAAATAAGAGCTTTGTACTTTGTCTCATTGTTCGACACTCCAAAATCAAGCCTAATTGCTTGCTCAATAGTGGATCCCTCTGGGCTAGTTAAAACCACCTCCACGCTTGCCACTAGAGCGTTGGATGACCACCAAAATGCAATCTCCAAGCTCCATAGGGAATTTATGGGTCGGTATGTGGTTCCTCTAAGGGGATGTTTTCGAGAATGGTGAACTCAGCAATAAAGTTGGCCAACTTGCCCCTTGATGCACACTCAAGGTTGATACTAGATGTCTAATTCACCAAGTTTGATGGCCCACGTAGCTACCCTCCCCGACAAGTTTGTCTTCCAAAGTACAGCGTTCAATGCGTTGGTTAAGACAACAATGGGGTGTGCTTGGAAGTAATGCGTGAGTTTTCTAACTATTCTTAACAAGGCCAAGATTGCCTTCTCCAATGAGAGGTACCTAGTCTCGAGGTCCATGAGGGTTCTGATAACATAGTACACTAGCCTTTTGCTCCAATTCATACCCCCTAATCAACGCTCACCTGACCGCATACCTGAGACAAATAGATACAAGTAGAGAGTCTCCCCAGGCTCAAGCATTGAGAGTGTTGGCAAAAAATTCATGTACTCGTTTATCCCTTGTAGCGCCCGATCACATTTGTCATCCCATATGTCCCTTTTGGCTTTCCTTGGGGACTAAGAGAAGGACTTACACTTGTCTAATGATTTGGTGATGAAATAGTTAAGGGCGGCCAACATCTTGGTAAGCTTACATATACCTTTGATTGTTTGAGGTCTCTATACTTTCAGGATGGCTTGTATCTTGTCAGGGTTAGCTTCAATGCTTTAACGGGTCACCAGATACCCAAGAAACTTGCTTGAGCTAATTTTGAAAGAGAACTTAGATGCGTTCAACTTCAACTCATAGCTCTAGAGATTTTGGAAGGTCTCATCTAAGTCCTTTAGGTGGTTCCCTCGGGACCGACTCTTCATAAACATGTCATCAATGTAGGCCTCCATAGTGACCCCGGTTTGTTGCTTGATCATTTTATTCATCAAGCACTAATAAATAGCTCCTGCATTTTTCAGACCGAATGACGTGACTTTTATAGCAATAAACCCCCGAGAGTTATGGATGAAGTTTCCTCCTGGTTAGGAGCATACAAAGATATTTGTTAATATCCCACCCCGAGTGTCCATGATAGTCATCCGTTCATGTCTTGTAGTTGTATTTGCCTACTAATCCACCTTGGGTAGGGGTAATCATCATTTGCGTAAGCTTTTTTGAGATTGGTGAAATCCACGCAAACATGACACTTCCCATTCTTCTTCTTGGCGCATGTGGTGTTGGACAACCACTCAGGGAATTAGACTTCTCTAATGGAGTCAACTTCTCAAGCCAATCCACTTCTTCATTTATCATGGGTGTGAGATGTGGAGCCAATCGTCAATGCTTTTGTTTGATAGGTTTGTAGGTCTAATCCACATGAATTTGGTGGCAAATAACTTTGGGTTCTATGCTCTACATCTCATTAGGAGTCCAAGCAAAGAAGTCGGCGTTACATCGAAGGAAGTCCAGCATCTCCTCTTGCTCAACTACCGTCAGTGATGATCTAATGGGTAAGAACCTCTCTTTATCATCTTGATGGACGCAAACCATGGCCAACTCCTCCATAGATCGTTCAATTGGCTTTACCCAAGGTTCATCAAACCAATCTTGACAATAGCGTAGAAACAACTCTTTGAAGTGCTTGGTCCCCAAATATTACCATGATCCCCCGAGGGGTGGAAAACTTCAACTTCTAGTGATAGACAAATTCGCTACTTTAAGGACATGTAACCAGGTACCTCCCACGATGACATTGTAAGGAGAATTTGAATTGATCTCCGAAAACACTAAAGCACACCTCTAGCATCCTACAACCCACTGCCCATGCCACTTGCATGCATGGATGGTTCTTTACACCATCCTAGCGTGCACCCTAATGCATACTAGCATTTTCTTAGCACTAAAGTACAAGTATATGATAAGTGTCTAAAAAGAAATGCATTAGTTTTCTTCTTCTCAATTTTTCAACAATGAATCGTCTTTAAGGCTTTTCATAAAAATTATCATTACTTCATTTAAAACCCACTAAAATGCATACTAAATAACTATTATTTTAAAAAAAAATTCAACATATTGTGTGCAAACTAATATGATGGATTAGTTCCTATCTATTACTCCTAATCTTTTTGATTTATGAAACTCCAACTAAGTATAAAATCTTATCTAAAAATAAATAAATTTAATTACTCATTCTAAAAAAAGAACACGAAATTCTAAACTAATCTCCATCTGTTTCGAGATTCGGGTGCAGAAAAGAGATGTTGAAAATTCGAACCA